TAAACCGTAACACAGGCTATTTTTCAAATTTCGTCGTCCGTAGGATTTGAACTCTAGACCTGCCACTTGGAGAGAGTAACGACTAGACCACTACACTAAGTCACCACACCTCTCTCTTTTTAATTATATTACACATACAAATTACTTATAGAAATTAAGATTTTGCAAATGTAGCATATGTATATCTAAAACTTTTTTTTTATACTAAGTTAATTATTTTTCTTGCTTAAAAGACTTTGTAGAGCTTGTTAAAATACATCTAATGGTGGTTAAAGCATCAAAATCAGTCTAGTGAATGCTGAGATATTTTTAAAAAACATTTCTTTAACTATATAAACTTCTTTAATAAAATAGGTTTTGTAGTAAAAATCCTGATTAGATATTTGTGAATAAATTTTTAAATAGAGTATAACTCAAAGATAAATTAGTCATAATGTTGGTAGGAGTAATATTAAACATTTTATCACATAATTTCACTTATAAAAAAAAAAAAGTTATCTTACTCTATATTAATTTTTTTGTTATATTACATGAATTCAATAAATTTAATATATTGTATTATACATGTATAATTTATAAAAAAAATGTATTCATATTATATAAGTACTAATATAATCAATTATTATATAATATAATAAATCAAGATTAATAAAATACTATATATACTTTAAAAAAAAAAAAAAAAAAAACAATAAATACTTATCGGTTTTGTCAATTATCTTTTAAATTTTATTTGATAAACACAGAATTCAATTTTTGATAGTATAAAACCTCTGGTTTTTTGTTTAAAACTATAAACTCTAATGTATAAATTTTGAAACAAAATAAAACTTGAATTCATCAATTCGCTTTGCACCTTTTAACTACTGCAACATCTTAATTTTGATTCTGAACACTTCCCCAACAAAATTACTTCACCGACAAACATTTTTCCGGTAACACTTCCCCCGATAAATCACTTCCTCAACATAACGCTATCTCCCCGGCAATCACTTCATGATCCGTATAATCGCGAAATAACGCGCAGGGTGTAATTTCTAATTTTGGCCTAAATTAAGCCTAATTCGGGCCATTATTCAAAATAACGCCCCTGCGCGTTATTTCGCGTTTATACGGTAATCGAATTATGAATATATACTATTTGTCAGGAAGTGAAATTATTATGCCACGAAGTGAGAAGTGATTTGTCGAGAAAATAATTGTGTCAAGGGGAAATAAATGTCAGTAAATGAGGGCCTTTAATTTGACATATATAAATTAATTTCTAACATATTTACTAATGTTTTATTAATAATAATTTAAATAAATACTGTTACAAACAGTTAAGTATAACATAATTTTAATTTTTTATGAAAAATATTATCTTAAAAGTTTTATATAAATTGAAAAATAAATCTTAATCAGAAATCAAATATATTACATTTATGTCCTTGCATGAAACCTCATTCCAAAGAAATAAAAAAATAATAATAATAAGTTCATTAAGGTTGTGATGCTGATGTTGCTGAAGGCGTTGATGGTTCAAAAACTTCTCCTAACGATTGCGGCATATGATGAGTATGAGTAGATGTTTGTTGATTTATACTATTATCAGTATTATCAGTGCTTGTATTTGGTGAATTTGAATGATTATCGACATGTTTACTTGAAGATGATTCATCATGTATCCCCATTTTCTCTTTTAGTCTTTGGACTGCGTCCTGTCCGCTACGTGCTACTAACTGATAAAAGAATCCTTTCGGATTACTTAGTAATTTATCTAGTGGCTCAAATTCTTCAACATGTCCTTCATTTAAGCATAATATCCTGTCTGCATCCATTATTGTATTCTGCAAAATAAAACATAAAGGTTAAAGCTATTGTATAATATTTTATAAAAGGATAACTTATATAAATTTGATGTTTACCAATCGATGAGCTATCGTCAAAATGGTATGATCAGCAAAATGCTTTTTAATTGTATCTTGAATTAAACGGTCAGTTGCAGCATCAACAGCACTTGTTGCCTCATCTAAAACTAAAATATTTGTCTTCTTCAAAAGTGCTCTGGCTATGCAGAATAATTGTCTTTGACCAAGCGAAAATTTTTTTCCACTTTCAAGGAGTACTGTTGCTAATTTGTCAGGCATTGATTTAACCTTTTCATCTAAATGAGCTGCTTCAAGTGCTTTCCATATTTCATCTTCAGTACATTTATTGAATGGGTCAAGATTTGATTTTATTGTACCAGCAAATATCACGGGTTCTTTTTGTAAAAGAAAATTATATAAATTAGAATAGATCCCTTCTTTTTTTAAAAAAATAATATATAATTACTATATAGTTTACACACCTTGCGGAATAATTGCAATCTTACTTCTGAGGTCACGTAATCCAATAGTGCTAATGTCCAAGTCATCAATCAAAATCTGACCATCGGATAATTCAACAATTCGTAACAAGCTTACAAGTAACGTTGATTTGCCTTACAATAATAAAAATATCAAGTTACAAAAATCATCATGTTAAAACTAATTTTTTCTGGAGTTTATTAAACTTTCATGTCAATGATAAAAATATATAAAACTCACCTGAGCCAGTTTTTCCTACAATACCAATTTTTTCCCGAGGTTTAATATGGAAAGAGATACCTTTTAGAACAGCCACACCATATCTATTGTAACGAAGGATGACATTCTGGAATACAATCTGAAATAATAATAAAATTTTAATCAATTTATATGATCATGAATTTTAACAAACTTTCAAAAAATTATCAAAAATTATTACCTCGCCACGTTCGCCCCAATTTTGTGGAGGTCGACTACCATCGACTATACTAGGATTCTATAAAAAATTTAATTAAAGTTATTTAAAGCCTTTTTTTTTTTAGCTAAATACTTTTTTAATTGTAAAAATATCGTTATTTACCTCGGATGGTATGTTTTGACGGAAATATAATAATTGTTGCACACTTTCCATAATTGCTGCAACATCGCGACCAGAACGAATCGTAGAATGACCAAAGATAAGTAGTTGCGACGCGCTAACAATCGCCAAACCTGCATACGCTGGAGTAACACTGTTTGAATTATGTAAAAGAATGACAAATAATATAGTGGTATAAATGAAGATTGATGCCATTATGTCAATGTATAATGATTGCCAGGATTTGACTATTATTTGACAAAGAAACATTAATATTTGTTGAAAATAGGTTATGTTATTTTAATATAAAATCGCGCTCCGGTTTATACCTTGCATCAAAGTAAATAAAGCTTTATTATTTGTATCAACTTTTTCAATATTTAAATTATCAAATCTTTTTTCAACCTTATAACTACGAATGCTCGCAAGCCCTTCTAATGAAGCTGATAAATGTGCAAAAATAGGCGGCTTACTATTAGCTGAACAATAAATTAAAAGGATTAATATTATTGAAATTTTTCTATAATTTTAACAAAGCATATTAATATAAATAGATGATTACCATCCAACATTTTAAACCTTTCCTCAACATCCCTTGAATTATGAATTATAAGCCATGTTAAAAAGACCAACACTACAGCGGATATCGCGGTATATGGTACGAGAACAATGACAAAGACGATAGTACCAATTACAAGAGGGACATATGTTAAAAACTATTAAGAATTATAAATTTTATTGCATTTAATAAATATCACGATAAACTTGAATCAAAAAAAAATATTATACCTGTAACGCATTGTCACTTAGAACATCATCAACAAGGTATTGATGTTTGGCAAATACATTCAATATACGTCCAAGAGGTGTAGCGTCAAAATATGACATTGGGGCACGCATTATTTTCTTTTTTTTTTAATTTGAAAATAATAATGAAAGTTATTTATGATACAAGTGTATTATCGAATTTTGATAGCAAGCGAAAAAAAAAATAATAATACTAACTACAAATGTTCGATCATGTAAAGATTCACTCTTTCGCATTACAATCCAAGCGTAAAACACGCCTCGTATAAAAACACCAAGGAGAACAGCACCCTGTTGAATTGAAATTATATGAAATTTTTAATAACCTTTGTTATTCAAATAATAATAATGACAAATAATATATATCGTTAACAAGATCTTACCACTAATGCACCGTAAACACCAAGAAGGTAACCAAAGTTTGCATCTTGACTTGTTTCTACTAACTTTACAAGCCACCAATCTAATACATACAAAATCCAAAATTAATTCTTAAATGGGCTTGAATTATTGAGCTTCAAAACAATCATAATTATTTTAACTGTAGCCAACTTCAAAAAAAAAAAACCTCAGATAAATACCACTGAATATCCTTATAGCGGTCATTATAAAAAATAATGAAATCATCAAGAAAGTTAGACCAAGTCCGGTCGATTTCCGGAAATAATCAAGATATACATTAAATCCAGCTTTGGAATCTTTTTTCCTTGCTTCAGAGTCAATAATTATCGGTGGAATTCCCTCGCGTTCATTTAAACTATGAATAGTCAACTGATTTTTCTCGACAGCAACAGCTGTAGCATTCATCTCGCGATTGACTTTAGGACCCATCACTCTTGTCTTACCAGCACCACTAAGAACAGATAGATTATTTCTTTCGATCAACTTAGAAATTGTAATTTCATTAATGTCCTGAGATGTGTGTGTATTACGTTCTATTATGCGTGAAATTGTATGTTCATTAACTTCAGTGTTAGATAGAGTACGATTAAGCGAGAGAGAGTTGTTAAGATTTGCGTCTCTAGAGTAGTCTGTGGCAATAATATCAAAATCATCAATATTATTATCTTCGTCAGGAACTGGTTCAAGACGAATTTCGTTAATAAGTTCATCAATTTGATCCGGATCTTCAATTTCCACGTAATCATTGATTAATGAGGCAAGAGATACATCTTTTTCAATTAATTCAGCATATGTACCATCTTCCACACATTCACCATTTTTCATAACTATTATACGATCACATTCAGATAGAAACTACAAATTTTATTTTTCCTAATAAGAAAATGTTAAGTTTATCTAAAAACGAAATATTATACATGAAATGTACATGCCTGTAATTGGTTTGTTACAAAGACTATAGCTTTTTTCTGAATTACAGAATAAAAGCTGAATTATTAAATGCGAATCCCAAATGATTTAATAAAAATTAAGATAAAATATAAATAATACCTTTAGATATTTACGAATACATTCATGGAAAATATGTTTTCCTATCACTGGATCCATAACACTTTAAAAGAAATAAAAATAATATAAAGTAAGATATTAAAAATATATGATAAAAGTAAATTACATTAAATATAAAACAAACTCCAACCTGAGCGGATCATCCAATAATACAATATCAGCATTAGAATACACTGCCCTAGCTAAACTAACTCTTTGCCTCTGACCAAGACTCAAATTCACACCTCTTTCACCTATTTCTGTCATGTCACCATTACTTAACCACTCCAGATCTCTTCTTAATGCGCATACGTGAATAACCTCCTGATACCTTTCATCATCACATTCATTACCAAAGAGAATGTTCTCCTTTAAAGTATCATTTAACAACCATGCATCATGAGGAACATAAGATATTGAACCTCGAATTTTTCGAACACCATTCTCTTTACGAAGCTGGCCTAAAATTGCAGCCAGAATGGAAGATTTTCCAGCACCAACATCTCCAACAACTGCAATAACTTCACCTTGTTTTAATGTTAAGTCTAAGAATTTCAAGGCTGGACGAGTAGTTCCTTCATAAGAAAAATCAGCATCTTTAATATAAACCATTATTCTTTGATCATCATTTATTGGACTACTTTCTTCTACTAAAGGTTCTAATTCAGGTTTTAATAAAAAATCATCTAAACGTTCAAAAGAATCCAATGCACCTAAAAATTATTTAATTAAATAAAAGAATGATTAAAAATTGATGAAAAAAATAAGAATTGTTTTATAAGCCAAATATCGTTACCCAATGTAGTTCTCACAGCAATAGGAAACATCATTAGTGGATATCTTATAAATAATTTTTTGATCTAAAATTAGTATAAAAAAAAATTCTATCAAATTCATCATTTAAATGGTCTATTATTTATTTACCTTACAGTATAAAATAAAGCCAAGACAGTAAACATTGTATTAGGAAACAACACATTATTTGGATATTTGTATGCCACAAGCTTAACGCAAAGACAACCCAACATAGCCAAAATGGGAGCACCGAATACAACACAAAATGTCCATACTTTAAGAACTATGCCAGTAATCAATTGAGTCCACTCCCTATTTCTAACCTTACCAACACGCTCACGGAAATAAGTTTCCCAAGCATAAAATTTAATAACTTTTATGGCAGTTAAAATTTCTGACATAAGGTGGATACGTGAAGAAGTGATATTTGATATTGAATAATAAATATTTGACGTAAGTCTCCCGAGTTTGTATTGAACGGGAAACAATATGAGAAGAATAATCAAGGCTGAAAAAAATAACATAACGTTAATAACATTAAATTGATTGTTTTTTTTAAGAATAAAATTAATAGGTAATCTGATATATACCAGGTAAAGCCGCCAAGCTCAATTGAATCCAAACCAAGACAATCATGACTACATGACGATTGATAATTTATACCGATATATATTTTCATATATATGTTTGTTTAGAGCCTTTGGTTAAATTCATATATAATCCGTAAAAATTGGTAAATACCTATTATTTCCACTGCAGAGCTCCATAGGAAGTGAAGATTTACACAAGCTTCTGCCACTCTATGCGTGAATAAAATAAATTAATAAACATGGAAATTTTTTTTTTTTTTTTTTTTTTGATACGCTCACTAGCAAAAAGCATTCGAATACCAGAAAAATTCATTCAAAATATTGTCAATCTTATTTTTATTAGAAAATTTTCTGATATCCGAATGAATTTTGATGATATATATATATATATGCTAAGAAATTTACTTATTGCAATCATTAGATATTAATTTTACTATTAAGACAATAAATAATAATAATAATAATAATAGTAATAATAATAAAAACTAGATTAATTTTGAATAATGAATAACAGTATGTTAATACCATATTAATACATAGAATGCACGTACCAATATCACCAATACCACTACCAATTGTACCAAGTCGTAATGATTTTCGATATACCAAAACCATTAACGCGGCACGAACCTAGATTGAATTCAGATGAATCGTATGGTATAGATTGAATATTAAACAAAAGATATAAAAGAATTACCTGAACACCTATTCGTGTTGATTCTGAAGTCACTTGATTGTTAAATATACTAAACGCTAAAGCACACAGGAACAAGCCCATGCCATGCAAATGCTCAGCAGTATTTGGAATACTCGGTACATTTGGCACTTCGATGTATACAATCAGTTGATTTATAAGGTAATAATAACCCACAAACATGAATCCAGCGGCGAAGAGCTTATAAATTCCAAGAAGTGCATAGGAAGTTCCAAATGATTTGATAAGAGCCCGACGAATTGATGGTTTACTTGAGCATAATAAAAATAGTTAAAGATATTTTAGAGCATATTACACAACTTTTTTAAAAGGTATAGTGCAGATCAATATCCACAAAGAAAAATATTTTAAAAATAAGACAAATTGAAAGATTTGTCCAGGCAAGAACAATAATTATAATTTAGAACGAAAAAAAAAACAAATTATTAAAATGAAAAGTCTCAAATACCTGGATTTTTTATTATCAGTCTCAAACCTCCAAAAACCTTCCAACCTGTCACCTACAACCTGCGCCTTTTCAGACTCTTGTAAAGTCAAGTTTTCACTTCCTAAATTATGTTTTCTGGATATTTTTAACAGACGAAATATCCAAAAAAAAAACCATGATGAGAGAAAGTTTGCTCTGTTGCCACCATAAATTGTTACATTAGGATAAGTAGCAGACAAGGCAACATTGGTAGGTTGCATTGATAAGTTGGTTGTTGATATGTTAGTTATTTTAGTTCTATATAATTTTTTACTGAAGCGAAAATGGATGAAACAGAGTATTGATAATTTAGGGAATACAGGAATTCCCCTGAATGCACGGTGAGTATTTGTACCTCAACATGGTTAACGTTAATTGAATACGTATGTGCTTTCCCGATTTAGAATCGCATTGTTTTTGTCTTCGAAATGCTCCTATCATTCCAGAAATCATCTTGATAGTTGCATAAATAATCTTACGTAAACCTTATAAACTTGATTCTCTCAAATACAATAAATTAAAGAAATGGCGCTTTCCTATTTTGGGTCAATCTCTCTATCAAATAAATAATTAAAGACAACTTCATATATATATTTTTTTAAATGATAATGAACCTGCGCGATATAAACAAATAAACAAATATTTTGAAGTACGTATGTAAGAACGTATATACTAATAAATCAACGTAATTGTATATGAAATGAAAATCAAGCTTCTAGGTTTGTGCTTTGTAGTTAGTAATTTTGTACATAC